AAAAAAAAAAAGGCTCGAAGCAGCCTTTTGCGGGTCCCCAAACCGTAGGGTTACGGGCCCCAAACGTCGGACCAAACGCCCGAACGTACGGAGGTCGGCCCAGGGGCCTCCGTACATATGGGCTGGTAACACTGGTTCCAATGCTATAGTTTTAGCTAAATGTTTACACTTCAATGTTGTCAACTGTCCTCCTTTTTTTTTTTTTTTTTTTTTTTTTATGCCCAACGAAAAGACCAAGTTGAAAAGTTTGCTTCCACGACTTCAGATGCTGGACAATGATGGACTACCGATAGTGTCTAGATGCCCTCATCAGCACCATGTCAATTCTGATGAGAATTGTTGCCTTTCTGAGGCCCTGCTTTTCGGAGCCGGTCGGCCGGAGGAAAGGAGAGGTCGACCACAATTCAGAGGATGACACTCATAAATCGAGAAATGGTCCAATTGTTTTTGCCTCGTTGATCCTTCCAGTAGTCATATGCTTGTCTCAAAGACTAAGCCATGCACGTCTAAGTGTGAGCACTTTGCACTGTGAAACTGATCTCCCCGAGATGTCGGGGGGAGGTGGTTGATTGGAACTTCGATTTGGCGGGGAGGCGGGTATGGGTGATGTTGCACTGGGGCCGCCTGGCCATCAGATCCCTGGGAGAGGAGGGAGCTGTGAGGGATAATGGGGGCCTATGTGGCAGAGGCGGATAAGTTGGTGGTGGCAGGTGACTTCAATTCGCAGCCCGTCAGGGGTGCGTTTTCCCCCCCTGAGAACATTTTTTGTCGTCGTTCATTATACGGTCGTTGGAAGCCTGGAAAACAAGGCATGGCAGTTTAGGGGGTGGTGGCATCTTATTTGAAACTGCAGGACCGGTAGCTGCCCGTGGGACCGCACGGGTTTTGGTCCAGGACTGCGTAGGACCGGTAGCTGCGAGTAGGAGGCCGAGGAGGCCGCAGTCCTTTTTCGAAATTGAAACGGTGCGGGTAGTCCTTTTTCGAAATTGAAACAGTGCAGGTCCTACACGTTGTATTCGAATACAACCAGTACCCTTTCTATTCGGATTTCGAAAAGAAAGAACTCTTGTATTCCGATAAAATAACTTCTTTTTGTTGGAGGTCAGCACTTGCCCTTGTGCTCCCCGGCACTGACATGCTGCATGCTGCAGCTCTCTCTCTCTCTCTCTCTCTCTCTCTCTCTCTCTCTCTCTCTCTCTCTCTCTCTCTCTCTATATATA